TCTTGCTTTCCTTCTTGTTGGTCATTGTGACTTGTGTCCGCCTTGTCTCCCTTCTGTCTCCCTTTGTCTCCGGTCACTGTGTCTACCTTCTTGTCTCTTCTTGTTGGTCACTAAATCAGCCTGTCAGTACAACTAAGCATACTCAGTAGATTTGCATATGTTCTGTTTTCGTTTGAATTGTCGGTTCTGACCTTGAAGTGAATTGAGCCAAGTGCAACCCAGAAGGTCCGAGTTGATCGCCGCGAGCTGGAACGGTTTGAGCCGTTGGCAGTTTGACAGTTCGTCTCTGTGGCTTACTTTATAAACTGTTTTGGGCCTACGCTGGTATAATTGGTCATTGCGTCCGCCTTGTCTCCCTTCTGTCTTCCTTTGTCTCCAGTCTTGTCTCCCTTCTTGTTGGTCACTGTGTCCGTCTTGTCTGCCTTCTGTTTCCTTTTGTTTCCCTTCTTGTCTCCCCCGTCTTGTCTCCCTTCTGTTTCCTTTTGTCTCCCTTCTTGTGTCCCTTCTTGTGTGTCATTGTGTCCCGTGTCGTCTCCCTTCTGTTTCCTTTTGTCTCCTTTCTTGTCTCCTTTTTTCATGGTCATTGTCCCCCTTGTTTTCCTTCTTATCCCCAATGTCTCAAAAATATGGACTTGGGAATGCTTCTTTGTTGTCCCTCCTGTCTGGGGCCTACGGTGGTATAATTTGTTTCCCTCCTCAACATCCTTTTCATCTCGCCCCGTCGTCCTTTTCTGAGCCTTTTGTTCACTCTCTTTATTGTAGTTTATTGCTTCATCGTAATCCGCGTGTTACACCAGAGTAACTCTACACAAATGCTTTTGGGCCATCCGTCGTCTAGTTTTCTGGCAGCCGAAGGAACTCCACTTGGATATCGTGGAACATAAGCGTTTGCGGCAATGAAGAAAAGTGGAGACAATGTGCAGCTTGGCCAAATGCCAATTGCCTGTGTCTTCTGGGTAGGGCGCTTCAACATTAGGGAAGCAGCAAGCGCGTGAGGTCGCGAATGCCAACGCGCATGTTTTGTGGTAGCTTCAGTAGTTTCAGCCGTCTAAAGGCTCACTACTGCGTTCGGCTGAGCCTTGCAGCGATTCGTACTGGAATCCATGGGCCACGATTCGTATAGGAGTAAATGAGTAAGGGGTGGACCCTGTGTTGAATACAATCTCACGATGCCTTCCATGTCTCTGGGCAGGCGAATGTGGTTGGTACTAGTTACTAGCACACCGCTCTAAAAAGGTTGCGCTTCTTTGATCTCAACAAAAGAGGGCTTCAGGTGCGATCAGGTCAATGTTCATGACCGCAACGCGACATGCCAACATGAAAAGACTGTGCTCACTTCACTGCTCTCCCTTCCCGCGTTTACACGGGATTCTGGGAATGAGCACAGCGCCTCACAAGACTCAAACCCTCAGTTCCATGGTTTCGGACTATCGAAGGGCTGGTTGAACAGGCTTCAAAGTGCGCCCAAGTCAAAACAAGGCCCAGACACGCATTCCCCTCTTCTGAACGCACTAGGCGGAAATGACAAAGTCTAAGCGCGAATCCTGCTCACCGCAGCCTTTTCTCTCTTCCTTTTCGATCAGCTCACCTTGACCCCCTCGACGAGCGAGAGAGGGTGTAGAAAAGGCTGACTCCTTTCCAGCTCGTAGTTCATGCCTTTGTTGCCACGTCGGTTGTCCACCCGGAGGAACTTTCTGCCATCTTCAAACCAACCTCCCGGACGAGCCGCGACTTCGGTGTCAAAGAGCTTCTTACTCCAGGCCTCGTGGATGTTGATGGTGACCTGTGTGACCTCTTGGATGAAGTTTCCCTGAGCCTTTCGGCGCAACGGCCCATCAAGCTCGGCCAGTAGCTTAGTGGGAATCATCCATTTGAACTCCCTGAGATCCCGGTGCTTCAACCAACTGGGACATCGTTTCACCATGCTTGCTTGACAGCCACACCAGCGCTGCCAAAGGCGCACTCTGCCTGGATGTCGTTGAGAGCGTGGATGAGGAAACCATCTCCGTTCACGCGATCCGCTCCAGGATGACCTGCCCAACACGGTCACCAGGGTTGATCACCAACGACTCCGAGCCATGATTGGCCAGGATAATTTTCACCGCTCCACGAAGTCAGCGTCGATCACACCGCCAGCAACGTCCACCCCCCGCAACGCCAAGGAGCTATGAGGAGCACCCCAGAGGAATTTCTAGAGCCAATCCCAATGGCACCAACTTGCGATCACCAGGTTGGGTCTCCAGGTGAGTTGCGGCTGCAAGATCCCAGCCCGCCGAGTTGACCGTGCCCTTGGATGGAAGTGAAGCTTGATCGTTCAAAAGCTTCGCCTTGAGTTTCTCTTCTTAGCCACCACCGTCGAACCATCTCCCAGCCCAGGTCCTTCACAACATGCAGCAAACATACAAGCCCCGCCAGCAGTAGGACCAGTAGGAGCCATCCTTGGTCCGCCCATAGCCCCGATGTCGACGAAGAGTGACGAGCTTCCCCAGCTTCACAGTGCTCCGCAGCTTGCGAGACTGGCAGCAACGATGCTCCAGCAGCGAGCAAAGATACAGACTTGCGCTCCGAAGAGACGAAGCCATGAGTGTCTTTCACAATGCCCGGCCTCCGAAACGGAGATGATGACGAACAGCCTGAACCAATGCCCGAACAGAAGCGCTCAAGAGGCTGAGTCCCCATAGCCCATAGTGAAGTTCCAGCGCGGTGCTCCAATGAGACATTCACGAGTCTTGACAGCCTCCGCAACCCTGCTCGGATTCTCAAATAATGTCTGGTGCGCGCCCAGCTCGGCAATGACCTTCAGGGACTGACAGACCCCAATCATCTTCACTGATGGTCGGAGAGACTTGAGCAGCTGAACGGCCTCCTTCATCAAATCCTCAGAGGGCTGCAAAGTTAGAGGAGAAAACACGGCTCCCGAAGCTTCAGCTGCCATTGACGAAGATCCTTCTTCGCTCTTGGTGACCACCTCCTTGGATTTGCCGTTCTCCCCATTCTCCTTCTTCACCTTTGGCACCTCCTTCACCGGACAGTCGGGTGCAACTCCAACAGCGACCTTGTTTCGACGCATCCACTCATGGAAAGAACACTTTTGTCCCTTCTTGGGCCCACCGTTGGACAAGAAGTAGCAACATACGGGCTTGTCAGTGTCTGCCTGTTTGGAGTCTCCCTTGATGTTCTTGGGATCGGACCTCACGTTCTTGTTGTGCCTGGACTCCATTGGAATCTTGATGTTTCCCTTTGGCTTTCCGCCTCCATCTTTGGTGCTTGCTCCATCTCCATCTAGAGCTTTCACCTTCACCGCGTCCTTGATCGGAGCCGTGGAGCCACCATGGAACGCCGCTTCACCCGCTGCCAACAGCGATCCGGAATCCCATTCTCGGTTGGGGCCACATCAACGCGCAGAGCAGCTCTTGTCACCTGAAGTGAAGACGAAAAGCAACTTGAGAGGACTGTTTGGCCAGTCCCGCAGCATATCGATCAAGCGTTGCAAACAAAAGAACTGGCTCTGGCGACTGAAGCCCGAGCTCCTTCGCGCGAGCGAGCCGCCTTCTCCGCGCCCTCAACGATAGCCATTCTCCGAGAGGTCCAGGGACTTTCTGATCGACCAACCGCTTCAGAAGAGTTGCGCGCTCACCCAAGCCACCCGGTTGATAGACGCGAAGCAGGTTGAAAATGATGCTAACAGAGCCCACTTCGCGCTGCGACGCGACACCAACTCCGATCTCAAAGACACTATGGCCCGGATCCCCCTATCAGGGGTCTTCTCCGAAGCAGTAGCCCCATCGCTCATGGCGATCTAAGGAAAAGGAAAGCCCGAAACTCAAGGTTCACAAAAGCGTGACCTTTGGGCTCGTAACCCACACCGCTCTAAAAATGCTGCACTTCGTTGATCTCAACAAAAGGCCTTCAGGTGAATGTTCACGACCGCCGTACGACATGCCAACGTGAAAAGACTGTGCTCACTTCACTGCTACTAGAACTAGACAGGGTGGCTCTCAGGCTGAGATGAGTGCCTTTGTTTGCCTTTGTGTCCGATGGCTCTTATTGGGTGTGGGATCCCTTGGGTGCCGAGCTGAAATGATTTTGTTTTGTCTCTTTTCTTGGAAGATGATTCTGCTTTGCCTCCCGTCCGCCATGGCTCTTCGAGATGATTCTGCTTTGTTGCCCTTCGTTTCCTATGGTTCTTCTGAATGTTAGCTTGAGATGATTCTGCATTGTTTCCTTTTGTCTCCCATGGCCCTTCTTAAAATCAAAATGCTTGACTTTCTCAAACAGCTTGGGGTTCCATTGGTTTCAAAAGATTTGCACCCTGTCACCAGATGTTCTCCCTGTGTTTGAACATCTCCCCACTTGTTTTCCTTCTTGGCAACCTCTCGCGACATGATTTCCTCTCTGTGTTCCCATTTGTCTTTCTTCATGTCTCCCAACCATCCTGAATTCTTCCCAGAACAATGACCACTGTATCGTGATAATATGCGCTCGGTGGCTCGGTGAACCTTCCTTGTCATCTCACACTAGGCTCTAGGGGACGGCGTGTTTTTGAAAACGCCTTTTCTGAAATCGCTTGAAGCGCGCATTATTCTGAATGCTTACGGAAAAGCCAAGGTTTGACATTGGCAATGCACGGTCGTGTTTCTGAAATCGCCCGCTTGTAGTCGAAGTGCACAGATGCATGTCCCCAAAAAGACACACAGGTATGCTTTGTGGAAAGACAGACGTGTCATTAACGTCATGTTTTTGAGAAGGGTGCTTGTATTGTGGGTCGCCGCAGGATATTTTTATTGTTCTTTTGGGTTTGTGCAGTTGGCCCTCTGGAAGGTTTGTTTGTGACAACCAACAGCTCACAACAAGCCTGTGTGGTGACGCTCGCTGTTCATGTAGATTGCTGCCTCGCCATCACAATTTTAACACTGAGTGTCAAAAACCAAATTCTCAAAGCCAATCCAACCTTCCAGCTTCCGAACCCCGACCCACGAACCCTATTAATCCTTCGGAAGGTTGGAAGCGGCCGATTTGCGGGCAAAGCGAGAGTTGCCGCCTGAGTTTGATGTACTGTACATGGCGCAAAGGGACAACGCATGGTGACAACGGTGTTACGGGCCTGTGTGTTTTTGTGCATTGGGCCTTGATTCATGCGTTCGTGGGGGAACGTGCGACTTAAAGTTAAAGGGTCCACAGTCTTTTTGGTTTGGGCTATTCTGCAACAACGCCAAGCAAGTTTTGCTTGACGGTTTGCTTGACGGTTCAAACTATAACCTTTTGCTCGGGATCGCTATCCTTGATTTCACGCGGACATTTTGCAGTAACATGTATAGAAAAGTGAAATGCAACTGTAACGCTCTGCTATGCGCACTCCTTTTGTACCATCAATGGCTCTGAAGGGAAGGGAAGGGAAGGGAAGGGGAAGGGGAAGGGGAAGGGGAAGGGGGAGGGGAAGGGGAAGGGAAGGGAAGGGAAGGGGAGGGGAGGGGAGGGGAAGGGAAGGGAAGGGAAGGAGGGAGGGAGGGAAGGAAGGAAGGAAGGAAGGAAAAAAAGACAAGAAAAGAAGAGAAAGAACGAAATAAAGAAGGAAATAAAAACAGAACAAAAGAAAACAAGAAAGAACGAAGGACAGATTGAAAGAACGAAGGAAAGATTGAAAGAGAAAGGAAAGAAAGAAAGAAAGAAAGGAAAGGAACGGAAAGGAAAGGAAAAGAAAAGAAAAGAACAAAAAAGAAAGAAAGAAAGAAGGAAGGAAGGAAGGAAAGACAGAAAGAAAGAAAGACAAACAGAAAGCAAGAAAGAAAGAAAGAAAGAAAAGAAAGAGAGACAGACAGACAGACAGACAGACAGAAAGAAAGCACAAAAGACACAAAGGACGAAAGAAAGAAAACCAGAAAGAACAAAATATGATAGAATCTACATGAGCTTTGCAGTCAGCCATACGCATATGTACTCACGGCCAACTATAGGCCCAAGCCGTTTCTGTGAAAACGAGCCCGCGCCTTTTCATGGTAGCGGAGCCCTGGTCGTAAAGCGCCGGGGCTCCGTTACCCACGTGGGAGCACGAGCTCTACGGCATCTTCCACTACGACGTGGACATCGAGAGCTACACGATCCAAGGGTGGACCTTCCTTCACATCCATTTGGCTCTTGGAGCTACTGCTGTTGGCAGGACTTGCAGGTGGGATTGGAGCAGCGACAAGCCAGGAAGTGCAGTACTACCAGGCCAACTCCATCTCGCCCCGGACAGGGAAGTCACGTGTGAGGAGGATGTACGTTGGTGGTCGAGACTGAGGAGCACCTGAGCAAGATCAAGTGGATAAAGAGTGAGAAGGCCGTGAGAGCTTCAGTCCTGGTGACAAGAAGACAGGACCAGTCACAGTTCAAAGAGGCGATCGCGGTGGTGCCAACGAAGTGGAGATTCGTAAAGCGCATCGAAGCTTTGAGGGACAACGCAGACGAGGACAAGTTGAGTGAGCTAGTGTACAACTGACGGTTTTGGGACTTGGCGTTTGGAGCAAGTGCACCCCTTGCCCCTGTGGAGACGAAGACATTCACCCCCAAGGTCATTGGGCTGAGGTCAACGGCAGAAGAAAGCTTGCGACAAGTGGCAACTGCCTTGGAAAGGCTGGCATTGAACCAAGCCTCACAAGGATGGGCAAGGCATCTGAAAGCGCCTGATGTCTTCAAGCCAGATGGAAGAGACGCAGAGTTGAAGCTATGGGGAGACTGGAAGTTTGGCTTCCTGAACTATGTGAAGGGGCTTGGCCCTTCGATGGCGGCCAGCATGGACATGGTCGAGAGCAACGTGGATGCAAACTACAGCTTCGAGGACATGACGGATGAGACGAAGGCAAAGGCTGTGAGACTATACAGCCTGTTGACCTCGTACTTGAGGCAACGCCCGTTGAAGCTGATTCGTCATGTCAAGAGCGACTCGCGGCAAGGGCAGCGCAGTGTTTGAGAAGGGCATTTGGGTGACCAAGCGCCCGTAGAACGACAACCATGTGGTCCTCTCCACGACAGGAGCTTATGAAGCAAGGACCATTCGCAGGGTGTCGCCTGAGGACAGTTTCAGTGGCCCTGAGATCTTCACTGCAAAGGGACTGCCATGGAGCTATTCAGCACAAGGTATCCTTATGAAGCGCGCCGGACAAGCTCAACGGTATCGTCAAAGTGGATGTAAGTGAGGAGGAGTTGAGTGCTATCGCCCAAGATGTGGCTACAGGTGTAGTGACACCAGCGCCTGGGTGTCAACCCATGACGCGTGGGATCACATTGACTATGAGCGGACCATCAACAGCAGCAGCGCCAAGGACACCGACCAGTGTACCTGTGAAGAGGCAGCTGACCGAGGAGGAGAAGAGTGATGGTGAGAGAGAAAGTAAACGGCAAGATGCAACAGAATTGCCCAGGAAACATGCAGAGAAGAGGCCAGGGCAGACTGCGCAGATGAATGAAGACAAGAAAGGACGAGTTGAAGAAGCGCAACGCGCAGGAGGAGAAGAGACAAGGGCAGAGCCCCACAGCACAGGTCATCTGTATCCACCGCACTACCCGCTGGAGTGGATGCAATTGGAGTTGAAAGCCATGGAGATGAAGATGTGGATATGGAGCAATGGATTGGATATGGAGGTGAAGAAGGTGACGACCCTCCTGAAGTGGCCCCTGAGGAGTTATAGAGATGCTCGACAAAGAGGCGTGCGACACAGAGGCCCAGAGAATGTTGGAAATGCCTGCAATGATCGAGACTGATCGAGCAGAGATTGAGTTGACTGAGGGCTACATCATCAGCACGAAGATGGTCATGTGCTGGAAACACCGCTTGGAGAAAGGAGGGTGGTTTCGACGAGCACGTCTGGTAGCCCGGCAGTTCAGAAACAGCATAGATCTTGAGCAAACGCTCGCTCCCACATCGATGATGACGCTGCCCAAGATGTTAACGCACTATGTGCTGAACGTGAGAAGGGAGTTCGTGGTGGTGACCCTAGACATCAAAGATGCTGTTCTCATGGCTGCGCAACCCGCAACGGAGAATGCCTATGTGCAGATCGATGACCGCGTCTACAAACTCCTCAGATGCCTTCCAGGCCAGAGAACAGCGGCGCCACAGTGGTTCAATTTGTTTGCCTCCGCACGTCGAGATTTTGGGATGGAGCAAGACCTGATGCAGCCAACCTTGATGCTGATCCCCAACCTCCTCTACCTCACCGTACATGTGGACGATGTGTTCATGATTGGACGAGAAGACAAGGTGAGGGAATTGATCCAGTACTTCATGGAGGGGGACAAGTTCTTCTATTTGAAGAGATCAGATGTGATCGAAAGCAGTACGGCAGTTTTGAGAAGGACGTTGACCTCTACTCCAAGTTCTATAGAAAGACGCCCTTGGATGCCAACTTCACCAAGAAGGATGACTCAGAGATCTTGGAAGGGAGTGACATCACAAAGTACAGGAGCATTGTTGGGAATTGGGAGGCTCATGTACATGGCCGGAGAGCGACAAAGCATGCCTTGAAGAATGCTTGGCGCACCTGTTCCTACCTCTTCGGGACAGGCGGGTATGGTGTGAGACTTGAAGAACGAAAGAAGGGCCAATCCACGATGGATTCCAGGGACATCTATGAAGTGGAGGATGCAGATGAGCGCTTGTTGGAGATCGTCGCAGACTCAGATCACGCCGGAAACAAGAACGACCGCAAGTCGACGTCCTCCATGCAAGTGTTCCTGGACGGCAACCTCATTGATAGCAAGGTGAGGAGCCAGATCGCCCTCTCATCAGGCGAGAGCGAGTTCATGGCCTTGGTGGCGGGATGCTCAGAGGGCATGTTGGTGAGGCACCTTTGGAACAAGATCACAGGAGGTTCTTGCAGAATGAGGGCAAGGTCTGACAGCTCAGCAGCCCGGGGCATGTCGGCCGTGTGAGGCATCGGACGCCTCAATGCTATGGATACAACAGAAGGAGCGTGACCAAGTCGTCTCGGTGGCACCGATCCCCACAGCCCTCAACAGTGCAGATATCGGCGCTAAGAATCTGCCGAAGAAGCGGCTCCGCGGTCTACTACAGTATATGATCCATATGGTGGACGCAGTTGGTGACTGCGTGGGTGAACAGGAGTTCCGCGAGACCGAGAAGGAGTACCAGTTGAAGCAGGGCGTGAAGAAGTTTGGAAAGAGTGAGGACCTCAGGATTGGACTCCTGATGATCAACAAGGTGGGCAGCACTTCGACTGAAGTGAAGGAAGATGATGAGACAGATTGGACATGGATGATGCTATGCACTTGCGCTTGCATCGGGGCCTTGAGCCTGTTCAGCTGGCTTCGGAACTACATGAATGAGTTCCTCGATTGCGTGAGGGTCTTCATCAGGGACAATGTGAAGGCCATGGTTCAGATCAAGAAGATCTACATGAATGTGCAGGTTGAAATGGTGGACCAAGAAACCCAAGCATCACAACGGGTGGACCACATGTACATGGCTCGGTACGAAGAAGAGCTACGAGAAGCTGAGAACACAAGCACTGTACATAGAGGAACTTGAGCAAGAATTGAAGAAGATGAAGGATCATGTAGCCGATTTTTTACAAGAGCGTATAATCGCTGAAAAGTACAGCACGAAACTGGAGAATAGGTTCCAGCGGCTGCGCATGACTCCGGCAGGCAGAGTCCTGCATTTCTCGGCAAGCACGCATTTTGCGGGAGCGAAAGAGATTCGCGCATGTCATGTGTGTATGGCAGAAGGAGGAGTGATAAAATCTACATGAGCTTTGCAGTCAGAAAGATCGAAATAACTAAAATAAAGCAAGAAAGAAAGAAACAGAGAAACAGAAGAACGAGCCGAACGAGCAAGAGAGAGAGAGAGAGAGAGAGAAAGGGAGACAGAAAGGGAGAGAGAGAGAGAGAGATATAGAGAAAGAGCAGCGTTGGCGGGTCAACCGCCCAGGTAGTGGTTCGAAGCAGCAGCCACGTGGTGGCAAAGGCACTTTGCGATTGCTCTGAGCTCGATGATCATTAGCGCAGCAGTTTTTTGCACTGTAACTTGTTCAAAAACTTTGCCAATACTTGAAGAGTTGAGGCTTGGTGACTCAGCTTGCTGAGCCACAAGCATTTGTGCCTCATTCATGCTCAATTCCGGCACGGTGAGAAACACCAGTCAGAAGTTGTTAGAAACGAACTGGTTCGGAGCTTGAGACTGAGTATGTGGCGAAATGTGCCCCATAATGACGCGTCAAAAACCTCGCCGCTGAGTTCTGCGCAAGTGAGTCCCAAAAATGCCTCTCAAAGACAGCGGCCCGCTGCATGGCTGAGAAGTGCAAATACCACATCACTTTTGGTGTTGTGATTGTTGCTAGCTGCTATGTAATTTTTCTAGTTAGTCGGAACAATTATTTGTATTATATAGTCTGAAGCATCGTTTGATCTAGCTTTCACCTTGATGCAGCACCTGGGACGATTTCTGTGAAGAAGCTAACGAACATTTTATTGCGGCACCTGATGTTGATGTCAGGTATGCCTTGTGCTAAGCGGAAAATGGATTTGTGTCCTTGAGTGCGTGTTAACGGTTGAATTCATGAGTATGGGAGTATGCTAAGAGACATCGACCGTGGCCTTGGTCAAAGGATTTTGCAACTCTCAAGCACACTTCGCATTATTCACTGAGCTGGCGGGTGCAAGTACGAAGATATTTAGGCCTTCCCTGACCACAAGTCCTTAAGCCAAACTCAAAATCCATTTTGCTGATTTGTCCTTGGCAACCCAGAGGTGCTTTAGAGGACCATGCTAGGCTATTAGGCAACCCCCATATATATATATATATATGAAGGAAACAATTTTGAGTCAGTCAAAAGGCAGGACACTCGCACGCACTTTGGAAGGGATCTATGGCTCGGTGATGCTTTGCATTGCAGCTAGTGGGAATCAAGAGAGTGGTTTCTGAGGCGACACATAGATTCGATGCAAGGATTTGTTTGGCCACCTTCAATCGTGTGAAGTCTCACTGCTTCTTGTTTGCCAGAGCACAAGCCAGGTATCGTCGTTGACTTGCCAGTCTTTGCGCCGTGGCCAGCGGAGCATGTTGGACTCTTAGGTTGCTATCCAACCACGTGCCTGGAATAATTTCTTGGTGAGAAATTCAATACATCCAATTCATCAAATTGTCTATAATTTTGAAAAGGCTCAGCCTGCTTCAAGCCTTGTCTGCCACCTTTGCCCCGTATGCAGGCCATCAAATCTGAAATTTCGGCGTATTCCAGTGAGCTTCACGTCGTAAAGGCAAGACTTCCTTTGCCCCATGTGCAGGAAGTAGACGCCTCCAGAGTTCTTGGGAAGTGCCAGCGACCCCTTGCCTTGGCGGGCGAGGCCCCTTTGATGTTAAACTTTGGAGTTGGGTGCGGGTCAGTGTTGGCTTGTTCATTATTATTTTCAGGAGGTTCCGCAAGATTGAGGGGCATACTGCAAATGAATTTGATTCAATGGCCAACAATGGGAGAGCCACAAGTTCTGACAAAATCTGGCTAGTTGCGCGACATACTTGACTTGTAGCCGCGCTTGCACAGTGGCATGCATGCCCGCTCAATCTGCGGAATAGGCCAAGCATGCGGTTGGCATGAATGCAGGTTTGAGGATTGTTTGCAGTTTGTTCGGCCTGCTATCCAATGCTTCCAGGGCAAATTTAATTTGAGGAGCATGCGTCCAACTGGACCCTCGATTCATTTTGAGTTTTGAGGGACTGATGTGTATGCCTGTTGTGGTGGGGCTCGCTAACATGTTCAAGGAATTCACACACTGGTTCTGATTCTGTTATAAGTTATATAATATTGTTTTGCTTTAATTTGCTTAATAATGCATTTAACGCATTGACATAAATGAAGTCTTGAAAGTGCTGCAGAAGTGTTGTAACAGGATGTAGTTCAGCAACCTGATGTGCTATGTGGTTGGATAGGATGGGTCGTTGCATTCCTAAGGCAGATAGAGAGTGAAGGTTTCCAGCTAGAGTGGACTATGCCTTGGTGACGACTGACTGTAACTTACTCAGTACTGCAAGGCGAACCTGATCATTTTCTGTCACGACAATCGGCCAATAGGTCAGTTTTTGGTGTTTTGTGAACTATCCTGCGGTGAAAAAGATCCTTATGCGCCCCCCAGCACATTCCATTGCCTTGCCCAGGCCCTACTGTACCAGCAGGATTCAACCAACAGCTTTTCACTGGGGACAGCACCTTTAATGAGAGAACCCTCCAACTCCTCAAAGCTCACATTTGTTCCATGCGCCATTGGGATTCTTTCATGGTCAAGAGTCAAGACAATCCGCGCCCTCCCCGAGCAATATGTTTTTGCAGCCCTGAAGACCATACATTGCTATTGAAACGCAGAGCTATTTGCACTATTGCCTTCCATGGGAGTAGCGTCACGTTCGTGTGTGCGGTCCTTTTCTTGAGCCAAACGTTATGGCGGTTTTTTCGCCAAGTTTGTTGTGGGTCTCACGTGGTCCATGTGCTTTTGCAGACTCACGCTCCCCCTTGCGACTAGTTCGCAATCGCCACACGGTCTTTGACCAAAAAGAAGCTGAATCCGCACCATTTGCCGTGCAAATTCGGCAAACCATCTTTGTGCCACTCGGCATCTACATAGATCAGCCGCTCAGAAAACTTCATGGTGTTCTGGTTGAGCAGCCAAGCCACCGTCACCCTGAGATACTCGAGGTCCCTCATGTCCTCAGGTGTGGATCGATGCTCTGGGTGAAATCTCTGCACCCTCAGACTGTGCCGTCGGACCATCCACGTTTCCAGCGGCAAGCGAAGATAGTCCCAAGCGTCTGTCCTTGGAACTGGTCGAAACTTCGTGGCTTCTTCATCCACCAATCGCTGCACCTTGTCAAAGAGCTCCTGGTTCCACCAAAGCGATGGCTGAATCACCAAGGTGTCTCCTTCGTCTCCCACCGGTGGAACCAACCGAGGCACCGGAGGCCAATGTGGCCGATCCCATGGTGAAGGGTAAGCTCTATGTGGGTCATCTCGAGGCCCTTCTGATGGATGCGGAAGAGGTCCAGGCTTTGGTGCCACCACCCACGGAGGATATTCTTCTGGCCACGCCGATCCCACTCGAGCAGGTCGGTTGGGCACCTCCTGGCCTGAGCACGAAGACGAACCTTTGGATGTAGTTCCCATAGCCGCTGCTCCCCGCGCCGCCGCCTTGCCCCCAGCGTCATTCATTGGCCCTGGTGGCGGGCTTTTCCGTGGATAGTACCCGGTCTTCAAGCCCTCAATGGTTTCATTGACATGTTGCACATACTTCGGCAGCACAGGTGGAGATTTCGGCAATGGACCCGGCACCCCTTGCACATACTTCGGCAGCGCCGGCGGAGACTTCACGGGCGGGCTGTCTTCCCGAACCGCCTTCGATCCCCTTTGCTGTCCCGTCGTTGTCGACGAAGACGACGAGGCAGCCGCCCCCATGTAGCCGGACTCCTCAACCTCGCTAGCCCGGCCAAAACGCAGCTGCAGCTTTCCCCAAATGCCATGGCGAGCGCTCGCGGCTTCGAGTTCGACGATGTTGGGAGCCTCTAGGCTACTGTTAGGGTCTTCCCATCGTTGAGACATCAAGGTCTCAGACCCTGGCGTGCGGCCCGACGCCTCTTCATTTCTGGCCTCTTGTCCTTTTCTTATACTTTCTTCTTTTTCTTTTTCTTCTTGTGGTGACCTTTCTTGGTCTTTTGGTTCCCTTGCAAGTCCCGCTCGCAGGGTACACAACTTGGGTCGGGTCGCCACTAGGGATTCTCCCCCGGAACTGCTATGATTGTACTGACCCTGGAAAACACGTGGTTTTGAATCCCCAGCGTTGACCCCCTTCCTACCAAAAATCCTAATCGCTTCAGCTGCTAAAGCCACGCTCAGAGAAGCCACCACCGCCACCTTGACGATTTGACTCGGCCACCCCGGGAATGCTGCGCAGCTGGCCAGGCATAGAGCGACCTTAGCCAATCGCACTCCACCATCATTCTCGCCCTCCGGAACCTCAGCCTCCTGGTCGATGTCATTCTCCCCCAGGTCCACCATGTGAATGAACTTCCGGAATCGTTGCCATGCTGTCTTTACCGCAATGGCCTTGGTGAGGAAGTCTGCAATCAACTTCGTCCCTTCCAAGTGGTAGATTTGCCAGGTTCCCAGCCGTGATCTTTCCCTCAAGGCGTGCGACCGCAATCGCAAATGTCGAGTGCGCCACGGACCATCAGGTTGTCGGATGATGGCGATTGCTGCCTGGCTATCCCCATAGGTGACCACTGCCGGCGGTTCCTCCACCCCCAACACCTCAGTCATCAGGGCTTGCAAACTATCGCCCATCACGGACGATTCGATGTAGCCCAACAACTCAGCTTCTGCCGTCGACAATGCCATACAGCTTTGCCTTGAGGATTCCCATTGAACCACTCCACCACCAACCATGGCCACAATGCCTTGAACACTTTTTTCTCCTTGTGGAGCGTAAGACACGTCGCAATAGATCTCCACCAGGTTCATGCTGCGTTCTCGAGCCAAAGCTTGGTCGGGTCCCCGATCTTGTTCTTTGCATTTTCCATAGGCCAGGAAGCACTTGTCAGTGGCGTTCAGGTACTCCAAGATGTAGTAACCAGTCTGCAAAGCCCAACGTGGCCTTTTCGTCACTGCCCTCCCCAGTGCCCCAATAGCGAATGCCAGATCCGGTCGACTCCTCACCGCAACCCACAAAATCTCTCCAGCAATGGCCTGAGCCTGGCGAACCTCCTCGATCTTGACGTCCTCCTCTTCCTCCACAAGGATAGCATGCTCCTTTGGCACTGGTGTAGACCTTTTGTTTGTGATCTTCCGGCGACGAAGGAGATCCTGCAGGTAAGAAGGTTGTCCCACCAAAAGTTCCTCGCCCTGATACTTCATCTCAAAGCCACAGAAACGCACCCATTCTTCAGAGTTCACCAACTCCGGCTTCGATGTCTTCCACTCCTCTTGTATGCGAGCCACCAGCCCATCATGGATGGCTTTGTTGCCCATCACCATTAGGTCGTCTACATAGACCAGCATCAGACCGACCGGAGCCGCACACCCTTCCTGTAGGACCCGCCATAAGTTTCGTTCTTTTGTGGATTGAAGCTTGTATTTCGTCCCCTCCGCAACCCATTCAAACTTGTTGAACATGGCGTCCCGGTGTAGTGCCCAGAAGCTTGGTGACGTCTGGAACCCGTAGAGTGCTTTGTGGACTATCCACACTTCATTTTCTGGGCAGATGCCCAGTTGTGACATGATTTTGGGCGGAACCACCGCCACTGGAGCAGCGCCAGGAGCGGTAGGC